CTACCCTGTGCCATCATCATCAGAAACATGATCATCTCTGACACAGTTGATCCATTACTACAGTTATTTGGCTAAGGTGCTTCCTCTCTTTCCTGACCTTCCATTTTCCAAGCATGATGTCCCTTTCCAAGAAATAGTCTCTCCTAACAGCACATCCAAAGTATGTGAGATGAAGCTTCACTGTCCTTGATTCTATGGCGTATTTTGGCTGTACTTTTTTCGAAACATACCTGATTGTTCTTTTGGCAGTCCATGGAGAATATTCAGTACTCTTCTCCAACACGATTCAAAGCCATTGCTGCCTCTTCTGTCATCCTTATTCTTTGTCCAATTCTCAGATGCATAATAAGTGGTTAAAAAGATGAATCCAGTGTACCTTAGTCTTCAAACCACATTGCTAAAGACCACTTTGCTCTTTAATATTTTGATGAGTTCCTTGAAAGTAGACTTTCCCAGTGTAATACGACTTTTGGTTTCTTTCTCTTGAGGGCTATTAGCAAGAATTTCGATTGTAAATCTAAGTAGGATGACATCTTTGATGATTTCCATATTCTCCATCTATCATGATGCTGTCTCTCAACCCAGTTGTGAGGATTCTTGTCTTCTTGATGATATGTAATCAATATTGAAAGCTGTTTTCTTTGAGCTTCTGCAATAAGCATTTCAAGTCTACTCATTTTTAGCAAACATCATCTTCATAATGCTAATTGTTGAGTCTTCCTCCGATCCTGTTGCCACATTCTTTATAAAGTCTTTTCTTGATTTCGTTGTATTGAGCTTGATGCATACCAGAGTTAAACAATTTTTGGGTGTTTATAGTGATAAATCATAGGAAATGTTTCCATATTTAATATGACAGGAATTGTCTTTCAAGCAGTAACTCATTGTTTATTCTTCTTGGTAGCTGTCATCAAATCAACTTTGATTCAGAGGGACTCAGTCTACAGCTTAAGCTCACCACCGCGATCACGATGTCAACTTCTTTTGTGGGGTGTTTTCTTTTCCTTTTCTACCTTTTTTACATCATTTCTTTTTTCCCGTGACAGACCTCTGCTGATAACCTCACTAAAGTGGATGAGATGAGTCCACCATCCTTGTAAGGCTCAGCCAGCTTCCCTTCTAACACGGATTTGATTTGTTCTTTGGCAGTTTAGCAGCATCACAATTCAAAATGTAAATTCCTTGTTGATCTTCATCTGTTGTTAAAATTTCACAAGCACAGGAGGCAATTGACAGTACCATGTCTTGGGTCAGGCACACCTGTCTTTAGACTGATATCTTTATTCTTTAGCATTTTAAAATGTTGCTGCAAATGATGGCTATAAGCACAGTCTAGGCACGGTTGTCAGTTTAAAAGTGTACTTAAAGAGGTCTTTGACAGCAGATTCTGCATATGCTTTTTTAATTTTACAATTGTTGTTTTATTGAGTATTGAATGCGGTCCAGGCAAAATGGATCCATGAAAATAGTCCTTCACAACTTGAGCCTCTTCTCCATTTATTGTGTTATTGTCTGCTGGCCCACTTGTGGGAAATTTTGTTTCCTTGGTGTTGATATGTAATCCACATTAAAGGTTGTAGTCTTTGATTTTCTTAAATAAGTATTTCCTTGCTTTCAGCAAGCAGACATGCTTAGAAAAAATTTGGATCCACTCACTAAGTTTTTATGATTATTTTGGACAGTTTTGTCCTAGAGAGGGTTAAACCAGGCTGTTCCTTGGAGGCACGGATTCTGAAGCTTCGTCTGACATACTTTGAACATGTTGCAAGGAGAGAACAGTCCTTTGAGAAGGATGTCGTGCTTGGGAGGGTGGAGGGACAGCACAGGAAAGGAAGACCCTCGATGAGATGGGTTTTTTCCATTTTGGGGGTCATCAGGGTGGGTGTGGGGTAATTGGGGTGGGTGTGTCAGAGGCAGTGTGTTTGGCACGGGATAGAGCAGGGTTTAGGGCTGTTGTACATAGGGTCAC